TTGCAGGAAGCCGTCCAATGTAGTATGTTTTCAAACAACTTAATTGGAAGTCATTACGGTAGGCCTATGTTTAGTAGACAGACATCTTGTTGCTACAATGACGAAAAAGAAAAGTTATATGGTTTTTGCTAGTCATAACACTAAAAGTTTCTAACCAGTACAGTACTTCTTAGCATAATAAACATTACATAAATCAATGAACTAATTAAATCAGTTCACAAGAACATTCCCTTGTCAAAATCACTCATAACATGTTTCAAAACCACGAAAATTCCACTTTAACTTGCGAGCCAAATTAAGCCTTATAATCTGCAAGAAGAATCTACTTTTGAAACTGTTATGTGGGAGTTTTTAAGTCGACATTTCCCTAATTTGTCTTCCAGACTTGGAACGAATTCGTACTTAATTAGATAGGAAAACTTTCTTTTTAGAACACTGTAATGCGTTTTAAAATTGTGTCGTGGACTAATTGCCTTGAATCTGCCATGTTGTACGTCGCTGGGGATCTATTAGGGGTAAAAGTGAGGAGTTATTCTACTCATAGTAGTATTCTAGTCAAATCGAAGACTTTTTGGTCTGTCGAAAGTTTTAGTTCTACGTTTTAAACTGTCTTTATTTCGTTTCTAGATCAGGTGATGTATGTAGTAAAATATTTCTAGTTTGTTCTTTACTAAACTTGTGTGAAAACGTGTGTTAGTTATTTAAAATATGTATTGATGTAAGTTCACGCAATACATTTAGAAAATCTAAGCACATGGGTAGAACATAAGTGCTACATTTTCTTAGGAATTTCTATTCTTTTCCTGTCTTTTTATGTCTGTAGACATACACGACTAGATCTTTTTACGGTGGTATTAATACTAGGAATGTAATTTATCTTCATGTCCATCTTTATCTACGGTTTCATAACGGGGGCTACAATTTAAATATCATAGCAAAATTTTACACTCAGTAAGAGTTATAGTTTAGAAGAAAACGTATAGTTTTACGAGGTGTACAGTGCAAACCGTCGTTATATGCTTGTCTGTCGGCTACTGCTTTAAGAAGAAGGAAATGTTTTATTACCTACTACTGCGAAGTCGACTAGCGAAATTATTGGAATGTTATGGAAAAACCTCAACGAAAACTTTCGTTTTCTGCGAAACGTTGTATTTTTTGGAAACCTACTGGGGGTTTTACTTTAGGTTCTAGTCATATTATTTTGTAGAAATTCTTTCATTATTTTCTAGTACAGAGAAAATTACTTTCCTTGAAAACCCTTGAAAGATAACCTCATTACCTATAGAGCATAATTTCGAAGAAATAAAAATTAACTTTTTGCTGTCCAAAACCTTAAAAGGAAAAAGTACTGATACTCAAGCGACAAGAATGAATTGTAAATTTTGTGACAATCCTAAAACTGTTCGTAAAAACATTGCAACAATCTCAGTTCAACGAACGACCACATTTTACATCACTCAAGATGAAATAGTGTAACATCCTGTATTCGTATAAACCCTAAAATAGTTCACCGACCTGATTGCAACGTATATTGTTAGAAATCGTACAAAACAGGTGATTGGATAGCACATTCCGACATTGTTGCGCGGGCGCCGATTGGCGATGATTCACGAATTACTGGCTATTCGGACGCGGAACCGACGAATGGTGGATTATCACGCTATACCATCGTAAAGGAAATGTTCCAAGTTTGAATAGATTGGTATCGAATACACGGGGAATTTATTATATAGTTTGATGTTAAGTAATGTCTTACTTGAAAGTATATACAGGTATCGATTGTCGATCGTAGCTGTCGTACCTCGGCTACCATCCATAGCAGCGGTAAGACCCCTCTTTGAGGAGTGGCTTGAGAGACGCCACGGCGTCCTCACCTTCCGTCTGACGCAGGTGCTTACCGGGCACGGCAGCTTCGGTAGGTTCCTGTTTCGGATTCAGCGGGAGGAAACGCCCGAGTGTCGTCATTGTGAGGACCACCTAGAGGATACGGTGGAGCATACGGTAGCGGTATGCCCTGCCTGGGCTGAGCACCGCCGTATCCTCAGGGAAGTGATCGGCGGCGGCGACCTCTCGCGCCCGGCCTTAGTCGAGGCCATGGTGCGGAGTGAGAGGAACTGGGACGCCGTCTCCTCCTTTTGTGAAGCAGTCATGCTCGCAAAGAGAGAGGCGGCCCGCGTGAGGGAGCAATCCTCCTCCTCACGCCCCAGCAGCCGCAACTGGCGACACTACGGGCGTCGGGGATCGAGGGACGATCTCCGGCCACCGTAAGTACGGGCCTGCGGTCGGCGAGTAAGGGCAGCTCGCCGCCCGACCAGAACCAGGCCCGAGCGTACGGCGCGTAGCGTTCCGCGCGCGCCTCAAAGAGCCATTCGACCACCACAGACGGGGCCCTAAAGGGCTGATGTTCAGCCGGGGTTGCGGGGTAAGCGCAATGAGGTACCGCGACCTCGGCACAGAGCAGGAGAAGGAACAGGGGGGTTTTTAGTCAGTAAGAGTCTGACACTCCCTCCTGCCCGGCCCTGGGCGGGAGAAGTCATTTGATGATTTTCCCCTCACAAAAAAAAAAAAAAAAAAACCTCGGCTACCATCGTTGTGATATTTTGATCGATCAAGAGACATTCAAGAATAAGAGTCACGGTGTGATTTCAAACTAGTAGAGCGTTTACTCGAATAGTTCTCGTGAGTGGCCTACTCAAATTTGATTTTATTTATATGTTTTGATAAATAGTTCAACAAAAACACTAAATATTAGTCAATATCTTTATATTATTTTGGGTGCATGACGAGTGTCACTATAGCATCGTGGTCTGGTTATGTTAGGTTGATAAGTCAATCAAATGATAAGAGATAGTTCGTATAAGCAAATACTGATCTCGATGCTATCTCGAATGTATTGGCGTGTGATCAACATTGTTATACAAGTCTGAATTTTTATGGAAGAAAATCAAAGCAACGAAAATCTTCTCAATTCAAAAGAGTTGCTACGCATAAAGAAAACACATATAACAGCCTGCTTGATGGAAAGCATAGAATGCAGATGACTATTTGTAGCAGTAGAATTTGTCAATAGCTTAATTTTTAATGGGCCACTTAGACATGTCATAAACTTATGTTACATCCTACAGAAAAGTTAAAATACTGTTGTAATGTAACTTCTTTTCATTGAAGAATCATATAAATAGAGTAGTTTCCAAAAAGTCAAGCTTAACACTTTTCCTTAAAAACTACCTACAACTTAATGTAAATTTTCTATAACACACTTGTGACATAATTATTTTTATTTCTCTTGAATGAACTAAAAAAAACACGGATAAGTACAAATTATCGTAAAGTTAATGAATCAATATTATACGTTGGAATAAGTAATTCCTTTTTGGTTGAGGAAAATACTCAATTGTGTCTAGTACAATATATTCTCAAATGAAAATAGATCCTACCTCAACACAACATACAGATATAAACTCCCAACACATCAAGAGGAAGTTAATGTAAAAATATCTGTCTGCAAATGTTATAGCGATGGAATCCCACGTGTATTGATCTAAAAGACGTTCAGACTACTTCAGACGAGAAAACTGTCTCGTCGAAATGAACTCTGTGTTTTTTTATACACGTTGTGTGACACTAGGATTTTCTCCTGTGTCGTGGGTGCCTATACAAACATACAAATTGACATACGCAAGCCACCCTAACCCGAAACAACAATTAATGGGTTACACAAATTATTGTTCCGCGCAGGCAGGAGTATCGAGCTCGTTGCACAGGAGCCAGTTGCCCAGCCACTGCATCAATCGTGCATACAAATGCATTGAAAACATACTATGTAGACTTATTACAACCCAAGTGAAATATAAGTACTGAATGAAATTTAGGAGAAACTCGTAAATGGAGGAATGTAGATAATAATTGAACATCTAGATGTTTTTCATAATCGTCATTGCAATTAGGGATTCTCTAAGGGTCAAGCTGCCAGAAAACGAGATATAACTTTCTACCGTTACTGAATGTATATAGTCTAGCTTAGGTATATGGAATTACTAGCGAGAAAATCTAGACTTTCATTAGAACTCAACTAAAGTGCACTTACAAGGATTGATATTTTGTTTACTTGCGTCAATAACAGTGTGTAACCATCCTTACATACACGTGTACAAAGGTATTATGAACGTAACAAGTTTATTGGTAAAAATATTTTCCACTTATATACAAACAAAAGCTCTGCTTTATTTAATACAAAAGTGGATTACACGTTCTTGGAAATATTCTTGGCTTAATGAAGATTGGCTTTCTATGTTTTCACGTTGAGAATATTTTTATTCTTATAGAAGTTCATTTTGAAAGTAAAAAATTTCTTCTTTATACATGTTAAGTTGTGTCTTTTGATATGTTTTGACTTTATTAGTTTTGCTTTATATTATGAAAATTACAAATAAGAATTTTCGAAATGGTACCCTAAATCACGCATAATGTACCTAGCGACAAAATCAAAAATCGCTTTAAAAATTTCAGATTAATCGTCCTATTAGTCAAAATCTCACAGACTTATCGTTTAGTTAACAATCTATATTATTAATTCATCATTCGTTATAGTTAAATGTTTTTTAATACTTTGTCACTAAATAGTCAAAAATCTTTCAAATTATAGAAAGTAATGTCAGTAGCAGCGCGACAGTGGCCGCGTTGCGTGTCGCAGAATGTTGCTCATGAATATGGGCCTCTAGCATGGCTTGAAACTAGTCGAGTATCCCGTCAAAACAATTAAGTGAGTAAGCCGAAAACATAATAATTAATTAAGTAAAGAAGTAGTATTAATGAGGTCAATTATCGTTTACCGCATTACTTCATACAACAGTTTCGCTTATAAATAAGAATGGAATAAAATCCCTTATTGGTATTATATGAATAGAAAGAACGCAGTCTCCTTTATCAGAAACATTTTCAAAATCCCTTTACCATCCTCGAGTTTATTTAAAACTTACGTAATTCAATATTTCACTGACCTGATCTGGACTAAGCGAGCTGTCTCCACTGGCATTCCTCTCCTGATTCTGTGCCGTTCTCTCTTGTTTGCATGCAGTGTGATACTCCAACCGTGTGCGTTCTACCTTCTGCAGTAACTTCGCCCAGGGTTTCTGTGCCTTCTTGAAGGCCTCGTCCATTTCTTTACGTTCTTTTAGCTGGATCATGGACTGTGGACAAAGAGATATGTATTGTTAAACTTAGTTGTCATATTTGGGTAAACAATTTGGCTATTTATAACACTTTTTAGGTAGAAGTAATTAGGCAAGAGTAGAATTAAAGTTCCTAACGTTCTAAATTTCACATTCATTGACTGTGTCTTTAAGACTGATTTATTTTATTTAATGGGCCGTTTATTAGATATTGGCAAGTAGACATAGGCGTCCTGAGGTCCATGTCAATATTTATTACCCTATTTATGCGAATCTATTTATTTGTGTGTTAAGAACCGTGTTTCTTCCATTTTCTTGCTCCTCTCATTTGTTCTAGGACTATGTGTCCTAGCTTCGCACCAACCGCAAAAATTCTCGGCACCGCCTTATGGTTGACTGTTAGAGAATGCCTTAAGGCATTAAGTCTGCCATTCAGACTGTTTTGTGTGAAGAAGAAATAATAAATAAATAAATATTTAATAAATATTCACGAATGTCTAAAATTAGGAAAGTAACAAACGCTTATATATGGACCTCTGGTCTGAAATAAAGAATTTAATTAATTTCATTTCGGGAGCTCATGAAAAACTACTGTAGTTTAAACACTTTTACAAAATAAAGTACTTAATTACAGTTTTACTTCAAGAGTTAATTGACTAGACACAGAGACGAGGACGAAAAATAATGATACAATTTTAAGATTATCCTAAAACATGCTAAAATGACTTTATAATTTGAAAAAGGTTTTCAATTACGGAGATAAATCTACTGGCATAATATTTCGGGTATCAATGTCGACCTTTGATGCTGGTCGCGTCAATTTCAAGCCAATCCGTGGAGTGATTAATTTGTTGGAAAGCCAGGCTGACCCAGTTTCCAGAGCTGTATCGGCTAGTGGTGTTACAAACGGATCTGGTAACAAAGAGCCGACTAAACCATGCCTACGCTTTGAGGGCGCTATATGGAAATTAATGTAACACGCTGTAGCGGTGGTTTCGTGTCATTTTATTTTTACCCGACTGCCAAAGAAGGAGGGTAATGTTTTTAGAATAGGTCGTTTGATTCGTGATTGTTATCACTGAATTATTTGTCAAACAAACCGTATTATTCTAGTTCTTAGATTTTATGAACGTTATATGGATGGATGACTAAGCTCTTAAGGTGATTATGATAAGCTTGTAGCTAAAATTAAAAGCTGGGTCAATCATAGGATAAAGTGTACCAAAAATTCTTGAACAGACTAATCAAACTCGAAGTCAAGATCATTTATTGCAACTAAACCAAAAACGTGTCTTTCATCATCATCATCATCATCAGCCTATAAGTGCCCACTGCTGAGCAAAGACCTCTTCTCACACGGAGAAGGTTTGAGCATTAATCACCGCGCTTGCTCAATGCGGGTTGGCGATTATTATATTATTGTCTATAGAAACGACAAAACAGAAAAATAGTTTTTTAGTCTGTTCTTCAGTGAAGTTAGGTGCTGGTCACCAAATTCTATCATATATGCAGTCTTATTACAACGCACTAAGAGTTGTAAAGAACGACAGTAAAACACAAAGCATACGAAATGTTCACGTCGCACGCAGAGTTGCATATTAGCTTTGGATGCATACAACACTTGTACTTCACAAGATAATGTTGTTTTAGCCACTAAACTTGGTACGTGTAACTTTCTAGTTTCCAAAGCTGTGTAAGTAAACGCTGAGGAGTTTGCGAAGTCACGTCTAAGGACACTTTACATAATTGAACAGCAAGATTTTGAGGATAAATTCTATTAGTTTAAAGGGGTACGTTGAAAATGTGTGGGCGTTTTGTTTTCGTTGGTAAACCTTGACTGCACGGTTGGTGCGGTGGCTGGGCAACTGGCTGCCGTGCTACGTGTCGCGGGTTCGATTCCCGCACGGAACAACTGTTTGTGTGATCCACAAATTGTTGTTTCGGGTCTGGGTGTTATGTGCATGTGAAATTGTATGTTTGTAACCGCTCCCACGACACAGGAGAAAATCTTAGTGTGGGGCAACGTTTTAATAAAAAAAAAAGAAATGTAGAATCGTTTTCTTATACTCGTTAAAGTCATAAATCTGGTGATATTGTACCTCTCATGCTTATTGAATTGACTTGGAAACTGCAACAGAGTTCTTAAGGTCGGTTTTCGAATGAAATAATTTGATTAAACATTTCTATGATAAAATAATGTCGTAGGTATAACAAACTACCAATATCACTAAGATAATGTATCTAATACTAATCGGTGTCATCGTATGTAATTAGAACATTTACAAGGAAATGATTCTAAGGTATTATCGGTCAAATTATATCTTTGGCCTACTGGGAGAGTAGTTGCCGATTAAGATTTTGTCTAACTATTTAGCACAGATAATAAACACATATTGTTCCAATCAAGACCTCTTTAGGCCACTTTTAATTATTGATTTGTTTTTCATAATAGATTTTAAAAGAAAACAGTTTTTATATGTATATTTTATTAATTAATAACAAAATATAAATAGCCTTTCCCGAGCGATTTGACTCGCTGCTACGTCATAGCCTATACTTCAGCCTTCCTCAATAAAGCAACTATTTAACACAATAATTGTTCAATTTAAACCAGTAGTTTCTGATGTTAGCGCGTATAAACAAACAAAATAAACAACTCTTTAGCTTAACAATATTTGTATTTTTTTTCTGTACCCTATATCGTAGTTCACATTAAAAGGTTAATTTAGTATTTTCCACGTACTTATAAATGCACGTTTTCAACGAGAAAAACTTAAAAGGCTACTGAAATAAACGTTTTGCAAAATGAAAGTAAAGCGAAAAGGCAAACTTGTGAATGTTTCCCAGGACACGAGTAAAACGTCCGTAAATAGTTAATGAAGTGGTAAAATATGTGTTGCTTCGAAAATGTTTTACACTTTGAGTTAACTTTTTTAAAAGAACCTTGAAATCTTTTTTAGTATTTTTACTGGTACGTCTAGTGTATCTAACCTAATTAGGTTATTTTTTGCTTTTCATTTGTGTGCTTGATAAAACTGTAGAGTAGAGCTCCTTCTGAAGTTTTTCAACTTGTTTAGTCTAATAAAGATGAACATCTACATATTTTACATTTATATATATTTACATATTGTACGTTTTTATGAGTGTAGGATTCACATAAATAATTATGGGAGTATAAGCTTTCAGTAACGGCTCCTATGGCGAAACAAATATTTCTGTAATTCTTTCACGATCTAACCAAAAAGGCCAGTAGACTTCGTATTGGAAATACACGCAAAGCCTTTTAGTTTTACTATATTAGAACATTTATATTTACACATCGGTGTACATAAACATTGTAATTAACACAGACAGTCATGATAATTATGACGATCATCAATCATAACGTTGATGGTCAACGATGATCGCGTGATACCTGATGACTGTGATGATTATATTATCATGTGTAATAGAATATGCATGTCTGTCTATGTACTAAGATATTATGCATGTATGTGCCGTCTACATATGTGTATACATAATGGATAGGATGATGAGCAAACTGAAGGTTGATTTACTAACTTATGCATCTTATTATGGAAGATCCACAACAACATAACGTCATGGTTGTTATTTTAAGGTGGATTAGTTACAAGTTATAAGTACACGTAAGTTTTTAAATTATTCTCGTAAGCAATCGGCACCGCCCATAGCGTAGCTAGCCTTTTGGGGATTAGGATTTCGGAGTTTATAGATAGCGAAAGCATTGGGGGAAAATAAAAAAATAAAATAAAAAAAGAAGAATTGGGCCTTCAGTAACCTCAGCTACTCGGCAAAATAAAACGCTGTGGTTGTCTCACACTGGTTTTCTGTGAGGTAGTATTTAGTATCTATATTCTAGTCGAGCCGACCCAACCGTGCCGAAGCATGACGCTACCAAATTTCATTTTCATTATTTGTATTAACTACTTCTTAAGTAATAAAATATTCGCCTATATTTTTTTAATAACAATCACGAGACACTGAATTTATTAAAATAAAAATAACAAATTACGTAGGAAACTAATCGAGAAAAGCTTTACTAGTTTCAAGCCACAACGGGACTCTTATTCACGAGCAGCGTGAGCGGACTGGCGACGTGGTGTAACCAACCCTGCTTAATCACGGGGGTCAAAAAGAAGCAAGTAAAGTTGTCTGTGGCTAGAGACTTAACACTAGTAGATATTTTTTCAATTAATTTATTTGAGTAGGTACATGTATATATTTTCATCTAAAATAAACAACATTTTGCACTTTTCTTTCTTTGAAAAGCAACAAAGTTGTTTATAATAAAAGAGGTATATTTCAGTCATAAACCATGCTATTCTAATCCAAGAAATAAATTCAATTATTACTCACGTAGCTACACAGTGATTATAAAATATTAATCAAGTTACAACATAGGAATGGAATCCGTGATATAATACGGATACGATAGCGGAAAGCCGTCACTAAATACACTTCATCACCAGGCTATTTAATGCCCACTGTTGAGTAAAGGCCTCTTCCCATATGGCGAAAGATTGAGCATAGATCACCACGCTTGCTCAAGGTTTTTTTTGAGGGGACAAAATTAACCATTTTTTTTCATCTTTCAGAATGAGGCGAGAGGGAGTGTCAGACACTTACTGACTAAAGAGTCTTATTTTCGATATTATTATAAAATATATCAAATTATAATTCCATTTCTACTACCGATTACGTGCACAGAACACATATGATCTAATTCGAAACCCTGTTACTATAATACCATATGTAAGTACAAAACAGCGATGACCCATAATTACAACTTTCTTTTTTTTAAGTAGTCCAACGTGTATATTATAGCAAATATATCTTACATGGAGAAGATGAGAGACTGGAAATTTTGAAAAAAACCTTTTTTTTTATTATGGAACTGAATTCAACAGTTTCTGTCAATATGTAAGACTTTAAATACAATTCTTGCAACCGTTTACCGTCTGTTATCAGTGCCATACCGGCGCACTAAGATATCAATC